AAACATTAAGATATGGTGTAGACAAAAATAGATAATTTATATTATTCTTTGTTTTTATTTTAGATAACAAGCCCTGTCTTACATTTTAATGATCGTTTTATAACTTTTTCTCATAAACTTATTTTAATTAATCTATATCAAATTTTAATTTTCTTTCAATTGTGCGTTATCTGAAACATAGTGAATTTTTAATACTTAATCAATATATATATAATTATATATTATATTTAAGGAAAAGGAAACATAATAGGTCGCCATTTCTCCAAAAACTTTTCTAAAGTTTTTAAAATTTGATAAATTAAGATCCGTCAGATGGCGTAATGATTAAAATTTATATTATTTATTTATTTTTATCATTTTAAAATATTAAAATACAAGAAAACAATAATCCATATAAAATTGATTTTCATTTTCTTCTAATATTTTCTTTATTTAAGATAAACAGTTGTTTATTAAATGTGTTTACCATATAAAAAATTATTTAAATTTTTTTAAAATGTATGATTGGTTAAATATATCTTCATTCCTTATGATATTTCCTTTCACAGATGGCAGAAAGGTTTGTTACACAATATTATTTTGGCTAAAATCTTAATCGGACAGTTTCTAAATATCCACCCAAATCTAGCTTTTTAACGACATTAACCTAGAGGTAGGATATTTTTTTTAAAAAAAATCGCTCTCCTGGAAGATGGGATCAAATGGAGTTTCAAAATGGGTGCGATTTATATAATTATAACAGTGAAGCTTCGAATCAAAACTTCTATTCCTCCCTAAAGCAATGACGATGGTATACCTCATATGTCGTCATTGTGTATTTTTATATTATACATATCTATAACTTTAGATATACAGGGTTTCCCATTCAAAAAAAGGAAAAGTCCCATTCAAAAAAAGGAAAAGTGTCAATCAAAAAAGGAAAATTCCCCAAAAAGAAAGGAAAAAGTCGGATCAAAGAAGGAAAAGTGTCAATCATAAAAGGAAAAGGTCCAAAATATCTGTATCCGTATACAATTTTCTAGTACTGTAAACATTTCTAACAAAAAAATCGAACGCGTTCACGTTTACTTTCAAAAAAATAGGATCGCGTTCAGCGTTCGTTCAAAATTTGATGACTAATTTTTTTTTAAAAAATTAAATTTAATATAAATAAATGTCTTCCATATTAAAAATTAATATAGTTTTTATTTTTGATATAATTATAAATACAATATAATATAAGAGAATTTTACAAAAAATTTTTCGTATAAATTTTTAATAAAACAATTAATTGTTTTTCCTTCATCAGATAGACGTGAACGCTTGGCAGTTAATACGGCATTAGCTAAACTAAAAACGCGCTCTACAGGGGCAGTTGAGAGGATTGCGTTATTATGCTTAATAAACAACTCTTTTAACGTGGGGAATTTATTAAAAACTTGTTTTGTCCTTTGCTTCAAAAAATTGAGATAAGTTATCCTCCTCCAATTCATTCTCTACTTCCTCGTCAAGAAAAAAGGATATCTCAAAATTAACAGTTCTTGTTATCATTTCTAGGGTTTTCGATGCATTTTTTCAATAATCTACAAGTTTATTTTTTATAGGTTCGTTTTGTGGAAGTTTTATCCATGGTTATCGAAGCTATTGCAGAAAGAACATATAGATCTTCATATATATATTCAGATCTTAAAAAGATAAAATATATGTAATTAATTTGATAGTGATAGGTTTAATACCTTTTAATAATCCCATTTTATGCGTCTAGCAATAGAGTTGACCCTATTTTAGGCTAATAATTTTTTTTAATTTTAAAATAACTATCGATATTGTTGGGGTCAAAATTCCAAATGCATTTATTCTTTAAATTTAATGATTTTATATAATTACATTATATATAAAATGATACAATTATTATTACAACCAAATTTCGTTTTAAATTGCAACTTGAAGATTTTGAAATGATACTTTTTTGGGTAAATTTAACATTTGGTAAGTATTGAATTAGTTCCTTCAATATCGGATGTAACTGTAAATAATTACCATCATTTGATTTTAAATATTTAGAATCAGATGATGATGAAATAATAATATCCATGCTTGTGCTAATCTATTAATTTAAAATATTAACAATAATATTCAAATTAATAAACTATAATAATGGCGTGTGAAAATAATGAAATGCGAAAAAGGCGAAACAGCTGATTAAAAAATATAAGACTTTTTATCTTAAAAAATTCGGATTAATATTAAATTTTTCAAATAAAATAAAAGGTGTTTTTATAATTGAACGAACGTTAAATTCGCGCGTTCACGTTCAAAGTTCGTCAAAAAATAAAAGGAATGCCGTTCATCATTTTTTCCAAAAAAACGTACTTCGTTCACGAACGCGTTCAAAACGAACTTCGTTAACGACGCCTTCGTGAACGAACTTCGTTAACTAACACGTTTCAAAATGAACGCGTTCGTTTACAACATACGATTTTGAAAATCTACCCACCAACCCTGACGACTTACCCGCCCGTTATAATAATTATCCTTCCCCTTTATCATCTTTTTTACAAAATTTTTCCGGTCTTTGGCAGATCTCTACAAGCGACTAAACAGGGCTTTGTTGCCGACACTCTATCCAACACTCGAATAAATTGATATAAAATCAAGCACGATATTCTATTCAAAAGATTCGATAGCGAAGATTTTCTACGAAATTCTAACATATTTTTAAAAAAAAATTACAAACTAGAGTAAATTGCTAGTTTAAACAAAAATTTTATGGTGCCATACAGACGGCAAAAAGGTACAAATTTTTCGATGCTTAATACTTTTCTTATAAATTTACTTTAATTAATTTACAAATTTTATTTTTTTTTGGAATTGCCTTATTATTTGAAATATAGTGATTTTTTAATACATCATGGACATAGCTACTATAATATATATATTTATGTATTGTATTTAAGGAAAAGAAAACACATTAGATTGCTCATTTTCTTCCAAAAACTATTTTATAGTTTTAAAATTTAGTAAATTAGCATCCATCAGATGGCGTAATAATTAAATATATAATTCATTTATTTTTAAATATCATTTTAAACATTAAAATAATACCTGTTTATTTTATAATATCATTTTAAAAAAATTATCTACTGTTTTTAAAATATATTATCTACTTTTTTTTAAATATATGATTGGTTAAATATATCTTTATTTATTTACGATATTTCTTTTTATGGATGGCAGAAAGGTTTGGGCTTCTACTTGCTAATTGAAGCGTGAACAATATCGCTCTCCTGGAAAATGGGATCGAATTAAATTTCGAAATGGGTACAACTTATATAATTATAACAGTAACGTTCCGAATCCACTTCTATTCATCCCTAAAGCAATGACGATGGTACCTCATATGTTGTAATTGTGAAATTTTATATTAGATAGAATATCGAATGTCAATCAAATATTGTTTCGTAGATTATATATATATATAGTTTTTATATAATATCTTATTAAAAAAATTGTATGTTATAAACGCCAAATATCAATATGATGTCGTCAATCACTAATGTTTTAGTGGAACAAAATGCGTGTTGAAAAAAAAATGAATTCCTTTGTTTATAAAATATTATATTGAATAAAATATAAAATAACATATTTTAACATGGATATATTATTATGGTGATATTTTACAATTATTTCAAAATATATATCGAAATAGCTACTTATAATATTTATTATATCCTCGGTCTAGAATTGAACTGCTCCAGTTGACATTTTCAAAATTTTTGAGTTAGAAGTGGATAATAACTTATTTATTCCTGAATATATATAAAAATAAAAAAAATAAAATCATTAATTTTTGCCAAAGTTATAGCACTGTCAATTTATGCGCTATTTGCATATAACGATGTAATTTTCGATTCATGCATGGCCTATCCTATTATCTTATTTAATCACGTGTTGTATTTCCCTCCTTCTTTTAATTTTTTGCTATTCCATATTGAATCATAAAAATATTTCCATTTATTTTCATTTCATATCTAATCCTAAATTATATTAATTTCAAGGTAAACTTTTTATCGATAATTGTTTTTAAAATATATTTTAATTAATTATTTTGATATTTATTCTTAAATATAAAACAAGATCCATATCTAACCTACCTTTAGCCATGTTGTAGTTTTGTGATTTTGTTATATATTTAGAAGAGACCTGCAGACCCCGCACCCTATGCTCGGCCCGGGTACCAGGGACGGGCCGTATTTTAAATTTTTAAACTGATAGAAGGAGCAAAGGTCTAGATATATAGTAACGAAATTTCCAGGCTTAGGCAATACTTTTCTAGCTAAAATATTGAGTTAACCGTTTTTGTTTAACAACATTATGCTTGCTTATTAAATGATAATACTCCCCTAAAAATATGATAAAATACCAAATAGGTCATTTTTTGTATATACCAGGGACGAATATAATTTTAAAAAATTCCGAGCCGGGCCTAAAATTTTTAAACCCGGTCCGGGCCGAACTTTTTTTAATCCGGACCTTGCAAATGGTACCTCTGCAGGTCTCCGATATTTATATATAATGATATATTTAAAATGTCAATCAAGAATTCGTTTTGTTTTTAGTGAAGATTAATGAATAATTAAGAATCTTACAACAAATATATCCCACCATCAATTCGCAAGACATCATAGGAGATACATTACTCACCGCATAAGGGCTGACAAAAGACTGTTTATTGCTAACTTATCGAATTCTATCCAATAATAATAATATTTATAAGGCCTTCCAATCTCTTAAACTACTCACCACCTTTAAAACCAATCCTTTACCAAGACTACAATTAAATAACAACAAGATTATAACTGACCCTAAGGAACAATTAGACTTATGGATAGACCACTACATGAACCTCTACAGAACGAGATGGCCTAGACCTAGATGTGACTACCCCTTCCAATCACCCACTCAGAATCTGAACAAGTCCGATATAATCGGTGCCATTAAATGTCTAAAAATGCATAAAGATGCTGGATGATAGAATTTTTGCAGAACTCTGGAAGATAGAGGTAGAGCTAAGTGCTAGCTTACTACTTCCCCTCTTTAGGGAGATTTGGAATACGGGCAAGTTTCCTGACGAATGGATGACATCAATTATACTAAACTTCCCTAAAAATAAGTCCCCAAACTGCCTTAAAGATTACAGAGGTATTGCACTGATTACAGTTGCCCTAAAAATGACATACATCATATCAGTCAGGATTAAACCAATAATTAATAGGTTCCTTTCTAACGCTATCACATCATACAGGAAGGGCAGAAATACTACGGAGTTGACTATGGTACTTAAGGTCATTCTGGAAAAGGCCAGAATGCATAAATCCCCCATCTTTGCCCTAATGATTGATAAGCCTTCGATTTCATTATGCAGCACAAGATATGGTCCTTGTTGGAAAACAAAGGAATAGATAAGCATCTGATATCGCTTATTAAGGTAATTTATGACAATCATAGTGTAGTACCTCAACATCTAAATGTAAAATCACAACCTTTTAAAGCAAATAGGGGCCTTAAGCAAGGATGCATTCTCTCGCCTATTATTTTTAATGTAATAATGAATGATATCCTAAATAAATCCTTTAAACAAGAATATGCACTCAACCCACATTACAGGGATCAACAGCACCACAATGACATGTAAAACTCTCTTAATTTTCTATTTTATGCCGGCGACGTGTGTATATTAGCTAACTGGGAATACAAGATAAGAAATATTTTATCATTATTTGTCAACAACTGTTATGAATATGGATTAAGAGTTAAGTACACAAAAACCAAGCTTATCACCTCAAATACATATGCGAGTAACTTAAACCCCTTTAACTTTGAGGTAGTTTCAGATTTCAAATACCTAGGAACCAAGATAACACCATTAGGCTTCACAATATTAGATATGAAATTGAGAACTAATAGTGCGTAATATGTTTTGGTGATTCTTCTTAGGCATTTGTTTATAAATATTTGAGTTGCGTTGATGTTGCTTTTAGTGTCCTGCCAAGACTCCAGTCCGTAGGTAAGAATGGGTACAATTAGGGACTTAAAGAGTCTTTTTTAAAAATTAATTGATATTTTGAATGACCATAATTTCGACAGTTGATGATATCGGAGTCTAGCATTATTAGTTCTCAATTTCATATCTAATATTGTGAAGCCTAATGGTGTTATCTTGGTTCCTAGGTATTTGAAATCTGAAACTACCTCAAAGTTAAAGGGGTTTAAGTTACTCGCATATGTATTTGAGGTGATAAGCTTGGTTTTTGTGTACTTAACTCTTAATCCATATTCATAACAGTTGTTGACAAATAATGATAAAATATTTCTTATCTTGTATTCCCAGTTAGCTAATATACACACGTCGCCGGCATAACATAGAAAATTAAGAGAGTTTTACATGTCATTGTGGTGCTGTTGATCCCTGTAATGTGGGTTGAGTGCATATTCTTGTTTAAAGGATTTATTTAGGATATCATTCATTATTACATTAAAAATAATAGGCGAGAGAATGCATCCTTGTTTAAGGCCCCTATTTGCTTTAAAAGGTTGTGATTTTACATTTAGATGTTGAGGTACTACACTATGATTGTCATAAATTACCTTAATAAGCGATATCAGATGCTTATCTATTCCTTTGTTTTCCAACAAGGACCATATCTTGTGCTGCATAATGAAATCGAAGGCTTATCAATCATTAGGGCAAAAATGGGGGATTTATGCATTCTGGCCTTTTCCAGAATGACCTTAAGTACCATAGTCAACTCCATAGTATTTCTGCCCTTCCTGTATGATGTGATAGCGTTAGAAAGGAACCTATTAATTATTGGTTTAATCCTGACTGATATGATGTATGTCATTTTTAGGGCAACTGTAATCAGTGCAATACCTCTGTAATCTTTAAGGCAGTTTGGGGACTTATTTTTAGGGAAGTTTAGTATAATTGATGTCATCCATTCGTCAGCGAAATTATGGTCATTCAAAATATCAATTAATTTTTAAAAAAGACTCTTTAAGTCCCTAATTGTACCCATTCTTACCTACGGACTGGAGTCTTGGCAGGACACTAAAAGCAACATCAACGCAACTCAAACATTTATAAACAAATGCCTAAGAAGAATCACCAAAACATATTACGCATACAACACTTCATATTCAACGCTCTGGAATAGATGCGACATCCTACCAATCAATCGACTCATTTCCATGAGGGGATTAGAATTACTAGGCCATAGCTTAAGACACTCGCAGGAAAATATAATATTCTCTTCCATGAAATGGTCCCCTGACGGTAGGAAGAAAAGTACCCCTAAATACTATTGGTTGGCGAAATGTTATAAGGATATGGACCTGATCAATCTCTCGTTTGCAGATTTCGGCCCTCAGCAAGAACAAGAAACACCTAAAAGAACATCTAAAATACATGCTAAAATATGGCCTAAATTAAAATAGGAACCGTTCTCTTCTTTTTCTTTTCTTGCAATGGCTAGAACAAAGCAAAGCATGTTTGATGAAGATAATAATCTGGAGAACGCAACTTTTCTCATATGAACCCACGACTTTTTTCTTCTGGACACACGATATCGGCGACAATAACGACAACAGCTACAATAACAAATAGAATAATGGATAATGATAACGAACACTGGTTATGATAATAACAATAACACCGACGAACCCAAATATCATTTGCACAGCGCGTACAAGGTCTACAGGACACGCGATATCGACACACCGAATAACAAACAAAGAAGGGACTCATCATGCAAACTTAACTTAAACTCTCAATACTCACCAAGATATAAGAGTTATTATTGTTTTTTTGTTGCCTCACTAAATAACCTTATCAAGATTCAGTGTCAAATCCCGGATCCCTTCCCCTCTTTGGCAGATCTCTACAATTGATTGAACAAAGATCTGTTGCCGGCAATTAATTATATATCTAATCCTAGAATAAATTGATTCATCAATATCAAGAATAATAATATTCCATTCAAAACATCGATAAAGAATATTTTTATGAAATTATAACATATTTTAGGTTTAAAAAAATTTTTATAAACGTTTAAATAAAAACATTAAGATATGGTGTAGACAAACATTGATAAAATATTTTAATGATCGTTTTATAACTTTTTCTCATAAACATATTTTAATTAATCTAAATCAAATTTTAATTTTCTTTCAATTGTCCGTTATCTGAAATATAGTGAATTTTTAATACTTAATCAATATATATATTTATATATTATATTTAAGAAAAATGAAACATATTAGGTCGCCATTTCTCCAAAAACTTTTCTAAAAGTTTTTAAAATTTGATAAATTAAGATCCGTCAGATGGCGTAATGATTAAAATTTATATTATTTATTTATTTTATATCATTTTTAAATATTAAAATACAAGAAAATAATAATCCATATAAAATTGATTTTCATTTTCTTCTAATATTTTTTTATTTATGATAAACAATTGTTTATTAAATGTGTTTACCATATAAAAAATTATCTTCATTCCTTATGATATTTCCTTTCACAGATGGCAGAAAGGTTTGTTACACAATATTATTTTGACTAAAATCTTAATAGGGCCGTTTCTAAATATCGACCCAAATCGAGCTTTTTAAACGACACTAACCTAGAGGTAGGATATTTTTTTTAAAAAAATCGCGCTCCTATAAAATGGGATTAAATGGAATTTCGAAATGGGTGCGATTTATATAATTATAACAGTGAAGCTTCGAATCAAAACTTCTATCCCTAAAGCAATGACGATGGTATACCTCATATGTCGTAAATGTGTATTTTTATATTATACATATATATAACTTTAGATATACAGGGTTTTCCATTCAAAAAAAGGAAAAGTCCCAATCAAAAAAGGTAAAGGTCAGATCGAAAAAGGAAAAGGTTCAATCATTAAAGGAAAAGTGTCAATCAAAAAAGGAAAAGTGTCAATCAAAAAAGGAAAAGTGTCAATCAGCAAAGGAAAAGGCCCAAGTGTTAATCAAAAAAGGAAAATTCCCAAAAAAGAAAGGAAAAAGTCGGATCAAAGAAGGAAAAGTGTCAAACAAAAACGGAAAAGGTCCAAAGTATCTGTATCCGAATACAATTTTCTAGTACTGTAAACATTTCTAAAAAAAATCGAACGCGTTCACGTTCACTTCGTTTTGATTGGATATGGCCTTGTCCTATGTCAAAATAAAATTACAAATTTTTCTTTAAAAAAAAAAATTTGAATTTGAGAAAAGACACCTTTAAATCTTATGATCTTTTTAAAGATTTTTTGTGCAAAATTTTCGGCAAAATAATCGCTTTTTCCTTCCAAACTCAGATTAAAATGTAACGTTCCTATAACCAACCAAAGAATTTTCGATCCATTAAATTTTTATATTTAATTTTGTGTTTCAGATTTTGTGATTATTCTCTTTGTTTCATATAATTATACTCAAATGAAAACTGTTGTGCGTAGATTTTTTCCCTTGACAACTAAATAGCATGGATCAAAATAAAGCACGATTTGGGTCTATTTTTAAAAACAGCCCGTTTAAGATTTTAGCCAAAATAATATTGTGCAAGCTTCACGATTTGGCAAGTAGAAGCTCAAACCTTTCTGCCATCTATGAAAGGAAATATCGTAAAGAATAAAGATGTTTAACCATTCATATATTTAAAAAAGTAGGTAATTTTTTAATGATATTACAAAATAGAAAAGGTATTTAATGAACAGCTGTTTATCATAATTATAGAAGAAAATTAAAATTTTTTTATATAGTATATTATTCTCTTGTATTGTTTATTTAAAATGATATAAAATAAATATACAATATATTTTTAATTTTAACGCCATCTATATTATTTATCAAATCTTATAAACTATAAAACAGTTTTTGGAAAAAAATAAGCAACCTATTATCTTTCCTCTTTCCTATATATATATATATGTTGCTATCTCGATTATATTTCTTGTTTTATATTTAAGAATAAATATCAAAATAATGAATTATAATAAATTTAAAAAAAAATTATTCAATAAAAAATTTACCTTCAAATTAAAATAACTTAGGATTAGATATGAGGTCCGTGAAGTTGGCCCCACACTTTTTGATTTTCAATACTTTATCAGTTGGACTGATTTGTACCCGATATGTACCGTTTTCAGTTCGATTTGTACTGTACCATCACCGTTTTTGAGATATTCAAAGAACAAAATGAGGGCCAACTTCACGACAGCCCCCCAACTTTTGAACTTAAAAATAAAAAGTGCATAGATCGATAGAAAATGATTTGTACCGATTTGTACCGTTTTCAGTTCGATTTGTACCATCACCGTTTTCCAGCTATTGACCGTTGAAAATATGGCGCCAAAAATAAAAAACACTCATAATTTTTTTTTAAAAATGTTTTTTAACGTATA